AATATCCAAAGTTTGACATGATTACATTGTTAGAGATGATCTCCAAGGATCATTTCCATTTATTTTATCTGTTTTCTGTTAAGAGGATCTTCATATTTATATGTGTAAGAGATACTCTTGTCAATTGTGTAACATTTTCTTTCTTCCACTGGTTGCTTCAACCAGTGGTTTGTAAAACAGATCGCATGGCTGAATCAGTCAGTGATTCGGATCGATGAATCAATAAGGAATCAGAAGAAAACTAATGATAAAGAAGAAAGAATTTGTAGGAATTAGGCTAGTTGGGGCTGCCCGAGAACTGGATCTCCGACCTACCAATCCTTAGTCAAGCGAGTAATTCCGATTCGACCAAGCATTTTTTAGAATACTGGCTTCCACCATACATTTTATGCACTGTTATTTATGTCAAAGTTATTTCAAGCTTCACTTATCACATAAAAAAAAACCATATCAAGCTTCTATATATTTTTTAATGCTATAATAGCACGATTGCTTAAAAGCAGTGCCCAGAAGGCTGAAAAGGCCTCAATAAATTGAAGAAAAAAAGGGAATTTTTTTAAATCATACACAAAAAACCAATCCCATCTTTTTTACAATTTTTTAGAATTTTTTTTAGTATCCCTGAGTTGTACACAAAACTCAAGAAAACTTGCTTCGGGCCAAGCTAACTTACTCGGTCAAGTCCACTTGGACTTGATCAGAGTACTGGCACACTGCTTAAAAGATAAATCTTGCTATACCTGCTATATGATGGGTTCTTACTATAGTGGGTCTCTCTCTCTCTCTAATCAATTGTTAAAAAATGCATCAGGTGAACTTCCATAGCAAATGAAGACACTTCTATTGCAATATTCTGATGGGACTCTGCTATGATAATTAATTAATTTTTTTAAAAAAAACCGTTTCTGCCTTGAAAAGCAAGTTTTTAAATGGATATTCTACCCTTATTTTCATTTTGTTTTAGTTGTTTACGGGTGGATTTACATGCGTTGCTAAGAATAAACAAAATATTCAAAAACCAAAATCAAGGTCTTTTTCACGAAGATCCATGAAAGACTAAGAATATAAAGGACATGAAATATAAAGTATACACCTTAATTTATGTGGAACACGTAAAAATTTGGTATGAAACATGTTCGTACATAGAATGATAATTTGTTTAAAGTAGCATCAATTTTTTTATATTTTGTCAGCTCCTAAAAAAGAGTCAGAAATAAAATTTAAAAATATACTAAATTTAGAATTAAATAATTCTTTTTTAGCATGGTTTACCATTTTAAAAAGATGATAGAGGCTGTTGCTTAGAAAGGTGATAGGAAAAAGTTTATATAAGGTTGATACCGAAAAATGTAGCAATAAGGAGCACCTCTAAGATCCTTAAAAAAATGTTATTTTGATGTTGAAAAAATATCTAATTGATCATCTCGATATTGAGATATATAGAGATTTCAAATCTTTAAAACAATACATCTTACAACGCTCTGTATTTTCAAGATTTTTATGATTCTTAGAGTTTAAAATTTCGTAATTAGAGACAAAAATAGATTCTCACACCATCATAAGAATGTTCAACACCAAAATTGTATCTCTTGACAAAGTTTGGAGATGCGTCTTACTTTGATTGTTTCAGGTTGAAACCTTACAACTTAATTTATGTGGAATATACAAAATTTGTGATGAAAAATATGAAACTTGTGCGTATATAGAATGAGAATTTGTTTAAAGTAGCATTGATTTTTTTATATTTTATAAGCTCCTAAAAAAGGTGTCAGAAAATAAAAATTTAAAACATATTCAAATTTCGAAAGAACTTTTTTTTTTTTAAAACGGTTTACTATTTTAAAAAGTGAAAAAGTTTATACAAGGTTGAGGGCACAGCTCAAAAATTCACTAGAAGATGTTGTTTTGATGTCGAAAAACCCTCGAATTGATCATCACAACCTCGAGATGTATAGACATGAAAGAAAATAGATTTTGAGTTTGAGAAATAGTGTGTTGTGTAATGTATTATCAGAGCCATCAATTTTCAATAGTTTCAAATGTTTATAGATTTGCTCGATCTACACTAGTTTAAAAGCTTTAAATTTTATAACTAAAGATAAAAATAAATTTTCAAGCCATCACAATTTTTTTTCCTACTAAGAAATCATACTTTAATATTATTTAAAGATACGCCTTACTTTGATTGTTTAGGACCTCAGCCTTATACAAACCACACCCTCTAAAAAGATGATAAAAGTTTTTTTTTTTTAACTTTAAAAAGATGATAAAGGTTCTTGCTTAAAAAGATGATAGGTTTCCCAAAAGTTGCTGAACTTCTGGTGAAGCTTCCAATTTGCAGAGTATTCTTTTGAACTTTTGCCGTAGGTTCCTAACCAGAGCTTAGAAGATATGTTTGCCTAGTTCAGCCCAACCAAAAGCCATGTACCCCCAAAATGTGGAAGGGCAGACCAATGTACCCTACACCCATGGGACTACGAAATATTTTCCCAAAATTTCTTCATTTCTAATACCAACCTCAACAGTGGAAAAACAAATGATTTGGAGCTAAAAAATGCTCCAAATCCAATTCCCCTAACAAGATTAATTTAGGGCCGTCCGGAGTACCAAGACTAGGATCTCACAGCTTCAATTAGTTGGAAAAAAAAAGCTTTGACAATAGTGATGATGAAACCTTCAAATGGTGTCACCATCAGTCTAAGATCAATTTAGAGGCAAAAACAATGATGTAGAGCGCAAAAGATTGTCCCAAATGAAATTCTGCTCAAAGATTGAATGTCGACTATCCATTTTAATGAAGGCCATATTAGGCCAGAAGTCATTTTTTTCCTGTTCAAATTTATTTAAGGATGCACCAAAAATATCGAAGTCACAATTATCCCACACTAGGTGTTTTTGATGCCGGACCAAATATACAAGGTGGTCTCACCGGGCCACCACATATGAGCCGCCCATTTAAGGTTAAGGGAAAGTGCATTATGGTACATGTAGCATTGTAGCATGTCATTAAGTATGGAGAAAAGTTTATATAGAGCCGAGGCTCTAAACAATCAAATAAGAGCCTACCTCCAAAATTTCACTAGAAGAGGTTGTTTGATGCCCAAATATCCTCAAATTGATCAACTCGACATCAAGATGCATGGATATGAAAAAAAAAATAGATTTCAAGTTTTGAAAATAGTGTATAGTGTATTTTGTAACACATTTTTTGATCGTCAATTTTCAAGTTTTCATAGATCTGCCGATCTACACTATTTTTTAAGGTTTAAACTTTATAAATAAATATGAAAATATATTTTAAGGCTATCACAAAGATTTCCAATATTGAAACCACATTTCTCGGCACTATTTGAAGGTGGGCTCTATACAAACCGCACCTTGTTCACGGTGTTTAAACTCGGAATAGTGGGTCTAGGTCCAAGCTAAATTACCTAGTCAGCTTGCCAATTCTATTTAAAAAAATTAAGCAAATAAAAATATACATAAAATGATAAATTCAAAACCAAATATTTAACACTACATTATCCAACAACATTGGCGAGGCTCTAAGAGAAGGAATACAACATGCACACAGTATACAAAACTCTTAAGAGAAGGGGATCACATTATTTCATCATGGTAGATAACTACGCAAAGTTTAACCTCCAATAGTTTGATTAAACACTTCCATTTTGAATCCGATCCAAAAATTCAAAAAGTAATGATAATAAATAGCAGCATAGTTGGGGAGCCATTTGGAGGCCAAGCATTTGGATAGGTGAGGTTTGTATAAGGTGTCAACCTTACACTATTGAAGAAAGGTATGCCTCCAAAACTGTCAAAAGTGCAGTTTCTGTGCTACAAAGCCTTGCGCTCATATAAAAATCTATTGTTGCCCTCAATTATGAAACTTACAGTTTCAGAAATGGTGACAATCAAACAGATCTATAAATACTTGAAAATCTTAAAAATGTATGGTCCAGATAATATGTTAAAGGACGAACTATTTTTATTACTAAAATCCCCCTTTTTTTTTTTTTCACATCTAAGAATCTTGTGGTCGAGATGATGGATTTGAGGGTTTTCCAATATAGAAATAACCTCACTAATGGGTTATTTAGGCACACCTTACACGTACAACATAAGGTTGAACCTTTATATAAACTTTTTCCTTTGGATAAAGGTGTGGTTTGTATAAGGCTGAAGTCCTAAACAATCAAAGTAAAACACGTCAAAAGATGTTTTAGTATAGAAGCTCTTTATGATAACTTGAAAATTTATTTTCATCTCTAATTATAAACTTTAAAGCTTCACAAGTAGTATACAATCTTTTGATCAAGCAGATCTAAAAACACTTGAAAATTGACGGTCTAAATAACATATTACAAGATACACTATTTTCAAAACTTAAAGTCCGTTATTTTTAACATCCATATATCTCAATGTCGAGATGATCAAATTTGAAGGTTTTTCGGTATCAAAACAACTTCTAGGGACTATTTGAGCCTCAGTTTGATTGTTTAAGGCCTCAACCTCATAAACTTTTTCCTTGGATAAAACTTATAAACAGGTACTGTTCCTAAAAATCTCTTAGGAATGAATGTTCAGATAATGCAGGGCAGCGTTACCATCCCTCCTTTCATGTTCTCGATGCAAGAAAAATGATCAAGAAAAAAAATGCCCCCAGGTAGGAAGTGATAAACCATTTTAATATCCATGGCAGTGGTTCCATTGCCGAAGACAAGGAACCATGCAAGTGATTCCAAGCCCTCTCTCCCCCTGCTGGTTGTCAACCATATCCACCAAGATCTTTAGGTAGTTATCCACTTGCTACACGTTATTGCAGGCATTTTTTTGACAGGATCATGCCCATTCGCACAATAAAACTACTCCAATATCCATGAATACAGTCTCAGCATACCAACACACAGACCCGCATCTATACCAAGCATTTTACCACGAGGAGCTCATAGAACAATCATAATCAAAACGCTAAAAAGGAAACCAAAATAAGACGAGGATGACAGTAAAAAAAGTGGGATGTTATATAAATTAGTATACTCACAAATGTGAATGGCACTTCCTATTAAATATACAAACAGGGCAGGAGGTGAACAAGAGATGTCCTTTCCCCCTTGAATATAAAGTTCAAAGCTCATTTCTCACAGAAACACTCTCCCTTCATTCCTTTGATGTAATGACCAGCAAACCCAGTGCGCCTATGAGCAAGTACTGCAACATGGAGAGACACACATTTTAGTGACACAAAAACAAACTTCAGAAGCATAGTTCACACTGTTCACCAGCTACAAAGAGCAAGCACTTCACAGTCCAAATTTCTCATAGTAAGTGAAAAGGCTTGTGACCAAATTACGCATGACTAATTACACTGAAGCTAGCAGAAATTGTATTATTCCCCAACAATTTTCATCAAATGAACCAGAATGCATACAAGATTTAGAAAAGGAAAACAAACAAAAACGAAATAACTTCATGAAGAAAAACATAAAAAGAAATATGTGATTTGTCAAGTGACCAAGACATCCACTTCAGTGCCTTCATTTATTTCCCAAGGACAGCTCTTTATTGCCACAAACTGTTTCTGTCGCCTCAAGCAGTGTATACAAACACAGGCTCAGGCCATGTCTCATGGAGGTCCAAGGCCAAGCCACCTGGTCCAACTTGGGTAAATCCAGAGTCGGACCAGGATATATATATTTTTCTGTTATATATAAAGTAGTAACTTCTTCAAGAAATCAGAAACTCACAGTGAGTTCCAAGCTTTTGCCTCAGGATTAGCCAGGGTGCCGAGCTAAGCCAAATTGGGGGAGTCCTGAGCTGAGTCTCTGATCTTCCAATCACTGGCCTCAATTATTAAGGCAAGGATTGGAAAGGCCAGGAGGCACTCCGTTCAAAAGACTTCTTTGATTTTGGTTAGTTCAGCTGTACTAGGGATGTGATAACATAGACATGGCAGTTTTCTCCATATGCTATTTGCATAGAAAGAAACCAACACATTGAGAATTTGAAATCCAGTGTGTTTGTCTGTCATTTTCACAAAAAAAAGTACAACTTAGGCATGCAAACCTTGCATCACTTGCAAAACCGGTATCAACAAGAGCTTTAATATGGTACTAAAAAATCAGGAGAATGTCTGAAAGCATGCAACATTCCTACCAAGAAAAACCAGCTGCATCTATTCGAACAAACACAAACCTTGATGATAGGTCTTTCAGTCATCATGATAGTGACCCAGCCAACATAAGGTAAGAACCTGCAAAAGGTAAGTGCAAATGTACTTGCGTTATCGGCTAGAAAGAAGAACCCACGTTTGACTGGTGATTATAAGTAGAACTGTATTCTTGTCATAACCACTCATTTATATTGGAAGCCAAGTGCTTGAAAAAACTTACCCCACAGCCCTCCCCATGATATGATGCTGGTGAAGCCAAAGCTGACCATGAGCATACAGAACCCTATCGTCTCCAAAATTATTATCACCTGAAGTAATGAACGATATGAATGTTAAAACACCATAAATATTCTAAACTTTATTACCCATGTCAAGCGAGACATTAACTAGAGCCATATTTAAAATACAAGTACACAGATGATTTTCAATCTTTTATGCTCATGCTTACTGCACCATGAACTCATTGGTTTTCAAATGTTAGTACCTTTTGTGAGAACATCAACCTCACCGGTGTCTTGTTGTTCATGCACCTATAAGGGAGAGCAATGAACATTAGAAGAATGATGTATTGACCTTAAATAGCAATGAAGAACTAACATCCAGCATGTTAAATTGTCAAATAGGAAATTTGAGAGCAACGCTATGCAAGAGGCCCAATCCTACCAGAAAGCAGACACCAGTAAGGGTGTCCTAACAAATAAATTGAAATCAATAGCATTGAAATATGTAGTTACATCTTTGTTATCTACCTGGATAAGAGCAGTAGTCTCCCTACAAGTGTCTATATGTATCCATGCGAGTGCATAAAAGTGGTAGATCATGATGTAAGCATTCCACTGCCAACCATGTCCTTTTCTGCATGGAACTTGGAGAACGGCCTCTGTATATGCAGTTGTGAGCTTAGGATGCAAACTTTCCATTACCCTACAAAATCCTCTAGGTATGGAATTTGGAACAGGTTGCCTAAATAAGTACAAACACAGAAAGTGTTACCACTAAATGAAATCATCAATCTCTCTGCCAGCAATGTAATCCATTTGCAGTTTGCACAGCACCTGTATCTAACAAATTATACGAATGGCCACTCCTTGTCCTTATTTCTTTAAATCCATATACATTTTAACTTTCAATTTTTGCAAATGAGGCCCAGTGATCAGTGGAAGCTACAAATGGAACTGTTCAAATAGATGAATGTCTCCTAGCACATTGTATCTCTGTTATGCTGACAATTCAGCTACAAGTTTTTCCAGCTAAATAATACTCATTTTTTAAGAACTATGGCCAGGATGACATAACAAGTCCTGGTTTCAACCTATTGAGGCTTAAAAAAGGAAGAGATCTGATTTATTCAATTGACAACTTGAAAATGTTACCATGCCACCAGGACAGCAAAATGTGATCACCAATCAATGGGTTTAAAATAGAGTTTTATTTCTACCAAAGGTACCAGACATCATCTGCACATGACTAACAGAACTAAGCACCAACAAGATATTGATTCAGTGATTAAGATTTGGCATTCACACAATGAATATCTAAAAAACAGTGTCCGTCATGTTTGAACCTCTTTTTATGAAATAATCCCTGTTAATTTGGAAAACAGAAAAGCAGTGCTTATCAAAATGGATGATAATCATTGTGAAGACCCTTTTCACTTATGCATTCTAATAGCTGGGGACAAGCTCCATGCCTCCTTGGAAACACTTTCTTGCTATAAGTATTTTGTAATATTTATTGATGATTGTTCCCAAGTGATATGTTTTGTTACTTTGAAGTTTAAGGATGCGGTCTCACATATTGTAATACTTACATCAAGATGACTATTCCTCAACAGAAGGGAAGGTTTTAGGTTCAAATGATGGACTGAGTACATCAAGAAAGGCATGTTACAATAACTTTCTTAGAAGGGAATAAACCACTAAACTTCCAGCATTCCAATCCACAATAGAAAGGGATACGTGAGAAAAAATAAACAGAGCATTGCTTTAACTCTGGTAATTGGAACGGAAGTAACCATATGTTTCCAATTGTATATGGATAAGTTATTACAATCATGATATGCAGAGTTAATGGGCATATGACCCTTTCATGGTTTGATATCACCTAATGTCACCTCTCAGAACTATCTTCTCACACATGTTGTGATTCTAATATGTTATCAAAGCATGCAAACACAAAAACCAGTGTTTCAAAAAGTGCTAGGCGGCACCTAGGCGGTCGGGGGGGTCCAAGCCGCCCAGCGCCTAGGTGGGCGCCCAGAACCGGCCTAATAGATTTTTTTTTTTTTGTTGGGTTTTAGGTTTCAAATGAACTTAAAACCTACAATTTTGCCCATTTAGTATTAAAAAAATGACTCAAAAATACCCTAAAGGAGCCGTATTTCTGCCCCTGAGTGGGGAGCAGACCCTAGGCGCTCTGCTTTTTGCAACAATGACTAAAACTGTAGATTCACTATTTCATCAATCTTTCTACACAGATTTTATTGACAAGCAAAACATTGACAAAGAAGTCCTAGACTTTCAAGCTTCAGATCTATAATGGTCCATACATCAACACATGACAATATGGGCCAGAGACTCAAAGGTGGCTGCCTATAGATAAGGTGGACCTTACCCTCAAGTTAGGGAGCCTGAGGTCGGATATCTTAAGCAAGCAGCAAGCAGCTGGATGGTGCCTAGGCTAGTTGGTCAATTAATGGCAGCAAAAGAGAGGAAAACAATAAAGAACAAGTGATCAACAGAGAAAATAGATACTATATTCCCCTCCACTGGATGCAGCCCTGGCTGCAGTATAGTGGGCTCTGTCTGCCATAACTGCAAGCTTGGTATATTTATTTGTTTGTTCTTCAATTGAATGAGTGGATCCTACCAATCTTATACATGCTTGCAGCTTGCTTGGAAAACTGGAAATGTCTCTCCCACTTTAGTAGTCAATGTATATATTAAAATAATTACACCATAAATACACTCGCTAGGTTACAAGTCATATATTTGTGTTATACTTTACTACCCTACAAATCAAAATTTTCCCTCTTTCTTTTTGTTTTTGCTTTTGTTTTATAGCTATTTTCACCTTACCTGCAAGCTTCGAATGTGTATTTGGTTTTTCTTCAATTAAACCCAACTCTCATGTCATCTTATGTGCTTGAGTAGAAAATTCGAAATGTCTTATCACTTCATGAGTAACTGAGACAATGGATATTAATCTATTAAAGAAGTGCTCCATGGACATTCTTAATATGGTATAAGTCTAAATGAATGGCCCCGTCCGATGGAGAACACCTATCAGGTAACCTCCGTCCCATCCCTCCGCCTCTGCCATACTCTCACCCATCTCCAGGTGCCTCTATCCCAGCACACATGTTGGCTATCCATCCCTCTAACGCACTACCTTTTCATTCATTGACTCCTGCTCTCGACGTGTCTCTCTTGTCTTGCCCAAACTCCTCCCTAGCGCTAAACTCTCCCAACCCCTCTTTCGCTTCTGGGGCTTCAGCTGTTCCTCCGGCAGTAAGAAGATTTCCACTAGAAGTTTCGTCTACCTACCCCTCAGCTCCCTACCCTCCTCTTTACAAACACTACAACAACTTCATTCATCCGCCTAAGCCTTTATTCCCTCCATCATCTTCTTTCGACCCCAACCCCGCAAAGTATCATCCTTCTTCCGTCGTTCCCACCTCTATCTCGGTGGGTGGAGCTCAGTACGTCTTCCTTGAAAAAGCCCTTCAACGTTCTCTGGTGGGTTTTCTCCGGCCACCTAGAAATGATATTAAAGGGACACTCAGATGGGGGGTCAAGTTTTGGGAGGAACCAAATCTTACTTGTAGAGAGCTTTCTTCGAGAGGTTTCCTTTTCTCCTTCTCATTGAAAGATAACCTCCTCAGAGCCCTACACAACCATAAGCCCTGCTTCAAAGGAGCATTCCTTTCTCTCTCTAGATGGCAAAAGGAGTTGGGTGCTGGCAAGCCTCAAAATATTTGGCTCCATGCCTCAAATATTCCACTCCACGCTTGGAATGTCGACACTTTCAGAAGCATAGGGGAAGCTTGCGGTGCATTCGTAACGGTCCATTTGAGATTTGCGGTTACCCTACCCCTCAACTCCATCGGGCTGTTGATCGAGACCATAATCCCATCTCGGCTTCCTTCTTCCCTTTGGTTAGAGGTCAACGGTTTGTTCTTCCAAACCCCGGTTTCCTGGTCTCCGGCCTCACCAAACTCTGGCCACCATTTACCAGATCAACCCTTTGTAACCTCTCCATCACAAGCGGAGCACAATAGCTAGGCTTAGTGGACCACAATAGAGGGTAGGCATTGAAGAGGCCCAAAAGACAATCTTAGCAGCATAGACATTGAACGACCCAGATGGAGAGTCTTGCCAGTACCATGATGCGGCTTCCTCCCTGCATCCTCCACGTGGACCTATCTCGAGGCCAGCCTAGGTTTCCGTGAAAGGCTTATCGTCCCCTCTTAGTCATCATCTCACAGCTGGTCGTTACCCCCCATCTTTGCCACATCGCAGTCCTGCACCCTTGCGTGCCCCCCATGCTTCCCAACACGCCGTGTCTCTCTTTTCAAATCCCCTTAACGATATCGCGCAGGATCTTGTGCCCACCCTCCTCTCACCTATCCCCTTAGCAAAACTAGAGGACCCGCTCACCATGCTACTTCCTCACACCCCTCTCATTGTTCCAAGAGCATCATTGCTCGTCTTGCCTGGACCTAGGGCACAAAGGGAACGTACCTTCCAAAACTCCACCTACTCAGAGAGCTCCCCCTCTGACAACCACCCAACTCCCCTGCCTCAGCCAGCTAACCCTCCCCCCAGCTCATCACCTCCCTCATCCTAGCTTCCCAACTCTCCTTGCGGCCCTCAACACCCTTCGTCACCCAATCCTCCCTCAACCTTAACTCCGTTTCCTGTTTTTCATCCTCCACCATCCCCTATTCCTTCCCCTTGCCCTATCTCTAACAATAGTAGTTCCCCTTACCGCCTTTGATTCAATTCCCCACTCATGCCTGGCCTGCTCCTCCCCCCCCGGCCCCCACCCACCTCTCAAATCTCAACCACTTATCCTTTGCTCCCCTACCCTTTGCCTTATCTCTTACTACTACCCTTGTGCCTCCCACCATGCCCAACCCCATCTACTCCATGTCTCCTCTTCCTCCCACCGTGCCCAACCCCATCTTCTCCAGCTCTCCTCTTCCCTATTACCTTTCCCCCTCTTCGGGTCCCCAACACCTCATTGTCCCCTAGAGCCCCTGCCTGCGCCTTTGGCCAGCCCTCTCCTTGTCCTGCCTCCATCTTTCCAGACCTCGGACAAATAACCTACTTTAGCTGTTCTATCACTAAAGATCCCCTCTCGGCCAAACTCACCATCTCTTTCCTACGCTTTCTCCTCAAGTAAATCAACAACTCTCCACACCTCCTGGCTGGGAAACTTTCCCTATCCCTTTGGTCAGATTCATCCCTCCTCAGCTACAACCAACCCACCCACCTTGAATCCGCCGACCTATCTTCCGAGAGCCAAC